GATTACTGAGTTACCTTTGTGACACTGACCACTTGTGTTAAACTACTAACATGTGATATTATTTTGGAACATTGTTGAACTGCAGTTCGTTTGCAAATTACATGGATAATATCAGGTGAAATACCAGACTTGGAGATAAAAGATCTCACAAATTGTCTATTCACTAAATGTAAGTTGATTGCAGGCTCATTTCTCTCAACTGATTTACAATATGACTATATTATTAACCCAGCACACCAAACCGAGTTCTACCACAAACTTAAGAATTTCATATTGACACCTCAGGTTCCCACTCCCTTGGCGCTGAAGGGTTTAGTTACTTACTTTAATCCAGTGCCGGGCTCCCTCAGCGCTGGTGACCTCTCCTCCCCACGTTGACGTCGGCTCCCGAGTGGAGCGATATGCGCATGTGCGGCAAGAGCCGCGCGCACATTCAGTCCATTTGTCAATGCTTTCCTATGGATGTTCTGCACGCTGAATGCGATTTTCGCATCCAGCGTTGCAGAAGCGCCTCTAGCAGCAGTCAGGAAGACAGCCACTAGAGGCTGGATTAACCCTGCAATGTAAACATAGTAGTTTCTCTGAAACTGCTATGTTTACATCTGTAGGGTTAAAACCTGGGGGGCCTGGCACCCAGACCACTTCATTGTGCTGAAGTGGTCTGGGTGACTATAGTGCCCCTTTAAATATAAAAAAATATGTCATAGGGAAGCCACCATTTCAACAAGTCATCAAACTGTCCCAGTCAACTCTAGGCGCTGTTATTGTGACCCACCAAGATCAACAATAACTCAGTAGCAATGTGGTACGCAATATACTTAACCCCTTAAGGACCAAGGCTTTTTTGAGATGCAATGTGCTTGTGCCCAGTGTCTTTTTTGCATTTTTGCCATTCATTAATTCCATCACAATCACCCCCTTTCTGTTTAAGTGCACCCCTACGTATTACATATTATTTTAAAGGCGAAATAGGACTCTCTTTTGATACCCTATATAAATACATAATGCAATATTAAATAGGAAGACATATAAAAAAATAGGACAAAAAAAGCCCCAAACACTTTGTGTCTCAGTTTTACATGCAATAATTTCTACACACCAAGTGCAAGAAAACTAACTCCAAATAGATTCACCAAGTTCTGATTGCTAAAATGCCCCAAAGTCTAGAATTTCAATACATTTTTAGAAGTTAGAAAACAAATACTGCAAAGAGTAAATTACAGATTTAAAGCTAAAACGTTGCAACATTTGGCATGCCAAGATTACAATTTAAATTGTAGTCACAGAATTCAAAACCACTACATAAAAGCATATTTTTGTAGAAAGTATTAACCTACAGGCTATGTAATTTTAATTTAACCATTTTATCACAAAGCTAGGTCAAATTACTCTTTTTTTGGTGTGTTTTTCCCTCACCGCCTATTATTTGGGGTAAATTTACAGACCACGCGTGGCCCACTACAGCACATATTTGTATTCTGCTACTGTTATCGAGTACAATGATACCCCATATGTACCTTATCCCTTAATCCTGCTTCTAATCCAACCACAAATTCAACCTTTAATCCAACCCATACCCATAATCCAATCTTTAATCCAAACCATACCCATAATCCAACCTTTAATCCAAACCATAATCCAGTCCATAATCCGACCCATAATCCAACATATAATACAATCTATTCTCTCATAGCTCATAGCTCATAGCTCATTTATCAGTCTGGGGCCACTAACTTTGGCCCAGTGACAGAACTAACTCCTGTGCAACTAATGCAGGTGCATTGGACCCCGCACTCTGAGGGGGCCCATTGGGTGGCCTGTGCACTTAGGGCCAGTCGATGGTAATATGTCTACAGGAGCCCGGTCAGCACTGCAGCTTTTTAATAGCGCAACCAAACTCTTTTAATGATGTCAGTGCCGGTAGAAAGTGATAGCCAGTGTATCTATCTGTGTGTCTTTATATGTGTGTCTGTGTACGTATCTGAGTGTCTGTATGTGTATTTATATCTGTTTCTGTTTCTGTCTGTATCTATTTTTGTTTGTATGTGTATCAGTGTGTCTGTATTTGTGTTTTTTTATGTGTATTTAACTGTATGTCTGTATATCTGCATGTGCGTCTGTATGTGTATATGCATGTGTCTGTATGTGTAGCTAGCTGTGTGCCTGTATCTGTATGTGTGCTTGTGTATCTATCTGTGTGGCTGTATGTGTATCTGTGTGACTGGAGATGTTTCAGTGTGTGCCCCCTGTTTATCTGTGTGTGTCAGTGTTTGTATTTGTATAAGTTCCATTCTGTGTATCTGATGGGTGTCATTCTGTGTGTGTCTGTGTGTATATTTGCGTGTCTATGTATCGCTATGTGTATTCGTGTTTGTGTGTCTGTGTATTTGCTTAGGTGTCACTGTGTGTATCTGTGCATACATTTTAGCATTCAAACGCCAACACTACACACAAATACACTGTTTCATTTAAATGTCAACACTACATACAGACACACCCCTACATTCAAATGCAAACACTACACACAAGTAAACTGCTGCTTTCAAATTGCAACAGTACATAAAACCACCCAACACTACACACAATTACACCCCTTCATTTACACACACATACTCCATACTCCACACAAAAACATGCATATATTCAAACACAAAAACACTGTTCAGTGCTAAACACAACCCTGCAAGGATGGGAAAATGTTAGATCCCCAGTTAGCAAAACATTGTGGGAGTTGTACAACAGATGGAGATCTACCTTTTGGGCATCTATGTGATGGGGGTGGACAAAACAATTAGTGCACTATGGCCAAATCTACTTTAGTTCCCCCAATGTTGTGGCCTAAGCTGACAGAGGGGCCCCAGGAATTGAAAGATACCAGGGGATTCATGGTACCAACAGGGATTTTACCCATACTGGTACACTTACTGCATAACGGTCTATGCCGTCACTGGGCATTAAAGCCCTGCACTGCATGATGGCATGGACATTCATGTGGTGCTTAAATGGTTAAAGGACAACTGTCACCTCAAAAGTATTTTAAATAGCATAACCCTTTCATCATGTATGGAAAGGAAATAGATTTTTTTAAAAGAAGTATATGTAAAAAGGTGAGGAAATGGGCGAAGCCAACATCGGAGCTGAGCAGACGTGCCAACGTAAGCTCTAGGCCTCATGCGAGGAAAACTGCGATTTAAGATCTAAAAACGGCTACTGGCAAACTCTACAGCCCCTCTATGCTGGAGAAGGCTATGGGTTGACGCCACCGAGGATCAACGGAGGCGATATAATCTCAAAATCCACGGCATAGCGAACACAATAGACCTAACTGACTTATGTAATTTTGTCAGGCGCATAATAGGCGCTTTGCTGCCACCCAAACAGGCCAAGGCAGTACGGCTAATTGGCATGTTCAGGCTACCGAAGCCAGCCACAACACCGGCCTCTGCTCACACTAAATCTGATAATCCGCTTACAGTCAATGCAGGATAAAACTCTCCTAATGGCAGCTGCCCGAGAGAAGGCTAATTTACACTTCAAAGGAGCTGCGCTGACCATGTTCCCAGACCTCACTAGAGGCACCATCGAGTGGCGCAGAGCTCTGTGGCCGCTACTGCCTCTGCTCCGAGACAAGGGCATTCAGTATCGGTGGGGGACCACAAGAAAGCTCCTCTTCCAACATCAGGGCACAACGCACTGAGCCTGTGGCTTCTCCGAGCTGGAGACTCTCCTACGCAACTTGGGATTTGCGGACTCTCCTCAGGTGACGGCAACAGGTCTTTCCCGGCTAGATCCCTCTGTGGTACCGGAGTTTGTTCCTAGATCATCCAGATGACCAACTTCCCCACGGGAGAAGACTTGAACAGCTACAAGCCACCCAGGACTTACTTGTCTAACTCGGGGATACATAACCCTCAGTCCGCAGTTTCCTCACTAGCAGCTATCCATAGCGGCACAGTTATAACATGTTAATGCTTTTTATTTAGATTTTAGCTATCTGTTTTCCTTTTATATGATTTATTGACTCTCAATCTACACTGATAGGAGTAGTCAACCTGTCATACACCGCCATAGACATTTCCACAAACCTCCACAGATAACTCCATATCGCTAGTTGACCCTCACGACACTTATGCTGTCTTATTACAGACCCCCTCCCCTTCCTCTCACCTGGCACTCATTAATGTACCCTGCTACTCATGCAGTCAAGACTGGGAGAGAGGATTTTCCCTCCAGGGGAGTAACATCCACTACTAGGTACAATCATTAGGAACTACCCGACCCTCCTAGGGGGGAGACTTTATTACTGCCCTCACATACAGTTCCTTAATACAACACAACTATACATAAAAATGTTCCACATGCTCAATAATTATTGTTGATGACAAGTGAGCATGCACGGATGACAACTCTGATTTGTGTCTCTGTATTTTTCTCTGTGGAATGAAAAATAAAGAATAAAAAAAAAAAAGCGAGGAAAAAACTCATCCCTATCTTTAGTATATGACAGGATTCTTCAACAGTACATCCATTTTTAGTTCAAAGATTAGTCTCTATGGTCTTCCCTGCCTCACTCCCTGCACATCTTTCTATTGGCCACATTGAAACTTATCTTTGGCAAACAGTAAAACTCTTGATATCACATCACTGTGCATAAACAAGGAAGACCGTAGAGACTGTCATACTCAAACACTGTCCAATCACTATTGCATGTTTATGGCTGATGTTCCTGGCATATATATATATGTGTGTTCATATTTTTTACATATACTTCAGGTAAAAAATGAATATATATATATATATTTCCTTACAAAACTTTAATTTTAGAAAATATTTTCAAGATGACAGTTGTCCTTTAAGAGCATAATGTATAAGAGTATAAACCATATTTCTCTGGAATAAGAGTTGCAAATTTGACAACTTTGCTTCACCACCCAGCAGACATAGAGAGAGCTCACACCCATACAGTCTCACAGCTAAATTTTTTTGGCATTCAGGCAGTCATGTCCAAAGTCTGGCCCAAGGGCCAATTGCGGCCCGCATTCTGGTTTAATATGGCCCCACAGGTTATTGGAAAATCCAGTCTGTTGTGGCCCCCAGTGAGTCCCCGAGCGCTGCTCAGGATCCCTGGATCTTTGAATGCCGCGGTCCTGAGCGGCACGCAGGGTTTCACTGGGGGCCAAGAGATCGCAAGAACGCAGACGGATGTGCAGTCACTGCTCGTCCTCAGTCTGAGTTCTCGCAATCTCTTGGACATCGACATTGCGGAATTTGGTTTGGAGGCAGCGAATAAAGGTACAGTGAATGAAGGTACAGAGAATGAAGGGGCAGAGACTGAAGGTACATATAATGAAGGGGCAGAATAAAAGAGAGAAGGGGCAGAGAATGAAGGGGCAGAATAAAATAAATCCAAAGTCCAAATAAATAAAAAAGACATTGTATTCAATCCCTCCCCTTGTTATACATCGTCCTGTTCCTTCTCTACTATTACACACAGCTTTACCTCTTGCCCAATCATACACATTTTTGAACTCTCCTGCCATCCCCCCACCTCAGATACCCACCTCCCTGCCATCTCCCACCCCCAGATACCCAACTCCCTGCCATCTCCCACTCCCAGATACCCACCTCCCTGACATCTCCCACCCCCCAGAATAAAAAAGAGAAGGGACAGAATAAAGAGAGACAGAATAAAATAGAGAAGGGACAGAATAGAGAGAGAGACAGAATAAAAGAGAGAAGGGACAGAATAAAGAGAGACAGAATAAAATAGAGAAGGGACAGAATAGAGAGAGAGAGACAGAATAAAAGAGAGAAGGGGCAGAGAATGAAGGGCAGAATAAAAGAGAGAAGGGACAGAATAAAGAGATGAAATGAAAAGTATGCCGCTTGCAATAAATTTTGCATTAAATTGTTCATTTGCATTTAATTTTAATGGTTCAAAGAATGTCAGGCAAATTGTCGGATCTCACGCATGTTCACTTCATCAAATCTGGCCCTCTTTGAAAAAAGTTTGGACACCCCTGCATTAGCCTTTTCCTGGGACTTACACAGCTTTGCTAAACATTTCCTATAAAGATAGATCTCATTTTTAAACTTCCTTTATTGCAGATACTGTTTAATATATAATTTCATATCGCCTGCTCTGTTAATTGCTGGCTAAAGCCTGCAGAAGCCTCCTGTATGTGAAAAACATTCAACAGAAGATAAAAACTTCTAAAGTAAGATCTGAATTTTTTTTTTCATGAAATCTGTGCCAGTCAAAGCCAGGGGGTGTATGGCTACAGCTGCATGAACAGAAACACAAATGATTTAACTCCTAAATGGCAGAGGATTGAGCAGTGAGACTGCAGGATCATGGTGTATATACCAAAACTGCTTCATTAAGCTAAAGTTGGTTTGGTGCCTATAGTATCCCTTTAAGTACACCATGTTGTTTTAACAAAGTGGGAATACTTTAATCCTACTAAGGCGAATGCTAGAACTTCCCATGGTCTGCATCCTGTAGCAATGTTCCTAGGCTAACCTCTGGCTTCTGGCCTGGCTGTTGTAAGGACTAGTCATACTTCTTGCAATCACTCCTTTCTTTCTTTTTTTTTTTGCTCACAGGGCTAGACCTGCACCTTGCAAGGAGGGTAATTACACAGCCTCACATATACACCTGTAAAACTGGAGATGTTCTAAGCACCTATTAAATTATTATTCTTTTTTACCAGAATGTTACTGCAGAGTTAGACAACATGCAGGGATTAACGTGTGAATGAATAGTGCTAGGTGGGAGCCTCAGGTTTGTTTACAGAGTCTGGGTTGGGTGAGTGGCGTACTTAATCATGTGATGTATCACAGCTGATTGCGGCCACAGTGCATTGACTTTTAACCCTTACAGTTAAAGTTAAAAAGATTTTCTTACATTGAAAAGTTAATGCAGAGAACATTTTATATACACTTGTTCAGAGAACATTTTTCAGAAAAGGCAAAAATCACTGATTAAACAATGTATATTATTTGGCACCCAGGATGGGATTGTCTGTAGACAACCCCTTGTGCATCTCTAAACCCTCTTACCCCTTGTATATCATTGTCTTACCCCCTACAACCTTATTCTACCATAACTATAGTGTGGCAGAGGATGACCACAGCAGGGATATCCCCCTCCACCCCTCCTGCCCCATTCAAAATGTTTTAATAATAACATGTGCAGATTGTTAGATCTTTATTAGATAAAGTTATACCAATTGTGTGAGTTAGATCTAACATTGCAGAAGCAATGTTAATATTCTTTTTCTGGTGGGACTAACCCGTCATCATCACCCCCTCTTCAAAAATCTGGACAAAAAGCTAGCTATTGTAGTTTAAACGCAAACAACAATTGAGCTAACCTTATCCAACAAAAATCTAACAACCTGCATAAAATGTCTTTTAACATTTTTATTTGGGGGACTAACCCGGCTATGGTCAGAGGATTGGGTATGTTGTTCTGTCCAGTCTGATAGAGAATCACAAAGAGGCCAGAGAGCTCAGATGGATGAGACTGCCCATCATATTCCTGCACCTCCATTCACACTGCTGCTTGGAGCTCCAATTATAAACCAGGTAGAGAAACATGCAGCCTTGCCTCTCTTTAGATGCTTTACAATTAGTGACAGTGGATAGAGGGTATTGTGTGTACCCGTCACATGTTTGTCATCTAGGGGAAGACCGCCCACCCCTTCAAATCTTACTATGCTACCGATGATGATCCATGCACAAAAATTAGAATATATCAGGGGTTTGCAACCTATGGCATGTAGTGTGTGCCAATTGACAGGTGGGGAGGGGTACGCACAGCACCTTCTCTCCATTGTTGCACAACCCAAATGAGCAGACAGGTAGGTCAGATGATCTTCTCAGCCAGCTTAGAGCCCAAGGATGACTGTGGTTTGCTTCTCCAGCAGGTGCCGATACTACAGGCTCTCCTTCGTAATCCAACACGTCATAACATTACTGCAGGTTACCATCCCAAAGCTGTCTCACTTGAAACATGCCAATGATGATTGCCACTAAGGCACTGTAGATCTGCAATACTTTTCTATGAGAAGCATCTAGCTGGAACAGAGGTTAATAATGTTGATGAATGATCTCACATGGGTGTATTGAGTTTCAGTGAGGAGATAGTCTGGGTGAAGGATGACAGGTTTTACTGCTTTTTCTTTTTTTATAACGAGTGTGGGCCAATTAATCCAAGTAAAAAGAAAACAGTCTAACTTTAAAAATAAATATATTTATTTGTAACGTTAGAGTGTTCCTTTAAGAGTTGCACTATTTGCTATTCGTATAAAAGGTAGCTTATTACTGCCAGGATGCACAGATGACTTTTGTGGCGAAAGTGACCTTTTGGAGGGTCCTGTTTGCCAGCCTCCTGCCCTGTGACTATGGCCCTGTGGTGAACTGGGGGTTAAAGATACTATTTCTGACTCTTGGGCTTCTAACTGGAACAGATTCAAACTTTCGAAGTGGCATTTCGGCTACAATTGAAGTAGTCGAAGTGGCCGCCATTCGACATTCAAATGTGTGGCGGCGGCCATCTTATTTGGTTGAACGTGTTCAGCTGTGTTTTGTCGTCAAGTTCATGGAACTCAAATCGGACACGCAACAACATGAACAACACTGAAAAGTTACCTTCCAGGGAACTTCGACAATTCGAACGGGACTATGTTCATTCACCATTTCGTTCGGTAATTCGACTGTTTAAAATAGACCAGCCGCACAGCCTAATTCTCTGGAACTGTTTTGGGCATGAAACCATGCATGTGGTCGTTTAAAAAGAGACTTCCAGTAATTTCTTGAACCCCTGCTCTGATCTGGGTGATTTTTGGATATGTTGTTCACCCAGAACAGGGCTATCAGGGAGTGTGACTTTATGGGGATATATTGTATTTTGGGGTACTTATGAGACCTTGTAAAATATGTGTTTTTTATGCCTTACGTTAATGCATTATCTGCCTTAATTATATCACAGGCAGAGTGGAGGGTTTGTGTACTGTATGTGGGAGTGTCATTCATTGTCACATTGTTTTGATTGGCTTGTACACCACCTGTCCCTGTGCCCAACAAGGTCCACCTGGGCGTCACCCTTTGTTGGGAAACCTGCATAAAAGGCCAGTGTGCCTCCATTAAAATTGAGTTCCTGTTTTACCCTCAACATAGAGCCTCGTCTCATGTGTGGGGGGAAAAGGCTGCATCTACCCTGGGGATTGCTATAACACTTTACTCCCCTGGGATTATAATCACTAGCTCTTTTAAGAGCTGTTCCTGCTATGCTCTCTGGATTAGGAGAGGTTCACCCAGTGGAAGCTGGATCCTGGTCTTGGGTCCAGGGTGGGTGGAGGACGACGAGTTCCCAGCCAAGCTGTAGCGCTGGACATGGGGACTGCAGTGCTGATGGTGTTTGATGGAGTGCTAGGAATCCTCGGTTAGCACAAGGAGCATCCGTCGGCGGAGGTACCCAACCGGGGTACAGGAAGCTCCGTTACAACTTTCTTGTTAATTAGTCTATTGTAGATAGTATACCAAGCAGAACAGGTTTGTCCTTTTAGAGATTTAACCAGCAAGATGATGTTTGGACTCCCAATGAGCATTTCTGAAATGTCATAACTGTTAACAAGTTCCATCCTAATGTCTGAATACTGATACTAACTAAAGCAGACATCATGTATTGAGTCTGCTCAGGGTGATAAGCCTTGCATTTTGGTGTTCGCTTATCTACATCTAGAATTAACTGCGATATTAGGTCTCTCTACCCTCAAGTATGACATTTTAGAACAATGTGTAGTACATTTAACATCCCAATGTGGGGCTGGGGGCTAAATAGTGTTTTTAACACTATAGAGTTAGTAATACAATTTTGTGTTCCTGACACTATAGTGTTCCTTTAGTTGTTCTGGTGACTATAGTTCCACTTTAATAAGTTTTTTTGTGTGTGTGTTTCTAAGAACACCATTCCTCCTCTGGCATACTAAATACCTCCTGTTAACATCCAGTATTTGGTGATACTAAAAACATCTAGCTATTTAAATGTATTTACTTAAAGGGACACTATAGGCAGCCAGACCACTTCTGCTCCTTAAAGTGGTCTGCGTGCAGTGTCCCTGTGTTCCTTTGTCCTGCAATGTAAGAGGAAACGTTAGTGTAGTAGTCACCTCAGAGGTTGCTGATAAAGTGGCAGGCTTACACCATACCTCCCAGCATTTCAAATGGACAAATAGGGACACTTTAATTCTAGGGGTGTGACTGAAGGTATGGCCAGAGGTCGGGGCTGTTCTGAGAAATTTTAGGTGACTTACTAATAACAACTAATACAACTAAAATGTCATTAAGAGAAAAAACTAAATATTTTATATGCACAGTCTGCTTTCTAAACACATTCATTGTAGTCTGAAGACACATTACTATGAGTATTATTGTTGTGGGAGTCTATTATACACTCAGACACACCAACATGGAGCTCCTAGAAAAGAAGCATATTAAGAGAGAAAAGAGGGACAGAGTGGTTAGGGTCCAAAAGGTATGTTACACTATAATAGCCATTAAAATGGTATTTAAAAAAACTCCAGTTATTTAAATATACTAAGGGATTTGGGATAGTGTGCAAGTAACTTATCTTAATTTGACTGATGAAT